AAGCAGACAAGTGGCAAACACTTAGGCACTATCTCTGTCTCCTGGAGCTTGCAGTGCCATGGAATTGGTGAGAGAAGTAGATGGGCAGAGATACTGTGTACAGTGAAGGGACACATAGAAAAATGCAAATCAAATCCTCCATGCATTGCCAAAAGGATCAAGTAAAGAATCCTCCTTTCCCTCCTTGGGTAGTTGCTTGAGGGTTTTTATTGCCCTCTTTAACACCAAGGTCTTTAAGGGGCTCCATAAACAGCACCTAACTTATTCTTCGGCTGGGAACCAGCTACAAAGCACTGAAGCCATTTAACCCTCAGTAAGGGGTCTCCTACAGCATAAAGCAGATTAGAGGGATCCCCAGGTGACACAAAATCCCTGGGCCTCCCCACTTGCCTGCAGAAGCAACCATCAGCAGCTGTTCCAATGCAGGCGCTTCCAGGTAAGGCAGCTGGGCTCCCCTGCACCCACTTCTCCCTAACTGCTACTGCTCTTTCATTTCCTCTGCTCTTTTCCTTGGAATCCCTCTCTTGGATTCCTGGGTCAAGCAAGTCAAAGGGGTTAGGCTGGGCTAAGGAGAAGGAACAAGATACCTCAGCTACTGTTTTGGACATGGATGCTGAACTTTTAGATCAGTACTAGAACAAAGGAGATACTGCCTTTCAAAACTGAAATAATGGAACAATTCAGATGACTGTGCTGCAGCTGAAGAAGGTACAGGAAGCTCTGTAAAACAATACAGAAATTGTTTTACACTAAAAAACCACTATTTCTCACACAGCTACTCAGATCCAGGGCTTATTTCATGCAATTACTCAGCAATGCACTGACATCTTAACTGAGAGCAAGCAAGGAGGCCCCAGGACTGGAAACCACAAACTGGCCAGGTGCAGGACCTGTGTGCTCCAAGAGGATCTGTTACACCAATTACCTACTTGGTGGCTTCAGACAGCCTTGCAGGAATTGTGCTTCACACACTACCCACAGCATTGTTACTGCATATGGTATATATTTACTAACATTCTACATATGGATGAACTATACCTTATACCCATATATTTCCAGGATTTTCTATGTCAAAACTATAGGAGGAAGAAAACAGGAATTTTTACTTTTGTACTTAAGCACTGGGTTGCAGCTGATCCTTTAGATAGGTGCAAAAATCCATGGAGTTCCATACCCAAGCACAAGCATTTCCCAGACTCACTCTGACTGACTTTGGTTAATGCTACATTTCATTGCTGGCAGTGGAACTGTTGTACCTACCCAGCAAACACAAGTGGTTTTAACATCCATAACTCACAAATGCCACATGCAGATGTGCTTTCAGTTTACAACTCTGCTGAACTGCCTTCTCATAATTCGAGGAGGGCTCACAGAGTTTCCACCACATAGCAAAATTATTTCATAATAAGATAAGAATCTCTGCTGCAGCAGATGAAAAACATTTGTTTGGAATATTTCAGCTACACTGCAGATGAACAGCCTATTGCATTATGTATAGCCTGATTACAGAAACCAGAGAATACAGTGGGCTCAAGTTACCCATGTTCTCTAGTCTTACTGGCAGTTTTGGATATTTGCTCTATTTTCCTACTGGAGCCCCATCTAATCTGGGAGATGACTAAGACATCAATTCAGACGAAGACAAATTTAAAAGCACAAGAATCCAGGATATCTGTAGTAGGGCACATGCATTTTTAAAATACGAAGGAGCATAAACATTTTCTTTAAAAGAAAATTAAATCACATATCGTTTAAAGGCTGACATCATCTAAAGGTATGAACGTTGCAAGCAAGAACATAAATACATTAGACTATGAAACAAGTCCTGACCAGAAGTGGAAAATCATGTTCCTCACTCTTGCAAAGATGTTGTGGGAAGGGTGCAGCCACAAGATGTCCAGATCACTAAGGGAACGGGCTGAGTGACCAGTTATAAGGAGATTTTAGATAAATACATGATCACTTAATATGACTGAAGCAGCTGAATCCTGTCCCTGTGTTTGCCTTTGCCTTGTTTCAAGGCTTCTATTTTCCAAGTCACTTAAACTATTCCATTTATCCAAAGTTTGATGTTAAATTTCCAGTTGTTTTTTACTTCATTAGCAGTACTCAAATAAAACCAAGAGGATTCATAGATGTTTTGGCAACATAAGGCTGATGTAAAATCCATGTAGTTAATGTCACTTATACTCCATTCCAAAATAATCAATAGAAAGATATTGTGCATGTCTAGATGATATTTCAACGCCATCTCATTACCTTATTGGGCACTTAAGTATTTGAGAAGAATAGATGCAATTGACCTTAGCACTTTTTTCTGCACTGTCATGTCTCTGCTCAACAGACTATTTATACCCATATTCTCCTCACTCATCTACAACTCCCAGAGGTGAAGAGTGGCCTTCCAATGAAAAAATTGCTATCTTGAACCTAAGTGGACTGTAACAAGTGTGGCAGCAGCATTTTGCTAAGCTAAGAGCAGTATTAAATACAGAAATGAGAAGGAACTGCCTGAAACTGTTCCAGAAGAAATGGCACGGGAGACCAGGATGACAACTGAACCTCAGAGCGGGTGCTTTTCAGCTAGGCTCCTCATAATGCGTGCACTTGCAGCCTTTCCCTTTCCTGATATGCCAAACAAAGGATCTATTCAATTTACTCATTGCTCTGCATGGTTACTAGAAGCCACCAGGGCTGCTGCCAAGGGGCAGGGACAGCCAAAAGCTCTGGGTGTTCAAATGCACCTGGTGGAGCACACGGTGCCCCTCACATCACAAGGGGCTGCTGCATTCATGAATGCAGCTGCTGCAATAAATGCACCCTAACTCCACCTTCTCCTGCCCCACAGCCATCTCTACTGTGTTGTCTAACTAAAGCAATCCAATCACCTACAATAAGAGCTATATTCAATTTAGGAGAAAAAGTATCAAAATAGAGCAAAAATTCGTCATCCAAAACATTGCATCACCTTGACCACTTTTTATTTTGACCTCTGCTTTTGACCTCTATTGCTACAAGAACCCTTTTTTGTTATCTTTTCTGCCTGTTCAGAATTCCTATTTCCTTCACAGCATCTTACTAAACAGAGTGCATAGTGGAGCTGCAAAATACAAATGCATGTATTTAACTTAGCAAGTAAAAGAGGGAAGTGATAAGAATAGAAATTGTCTTTAAGGAAGGAATTAGCATGCTTACAAAAAAAAAAAATCCAAACAAGTCCACAACAACAAAACAAGCAGCTTCAGCCTAGTTCCCCCTTCTGCACTTTCTACCATATCCTGACTTTTTAAATACCATCTGCCAGAAAGGCAAGTTCCTCAGATGTGATATCTGTTTCTTGGGGTTTTCCTTAATTTACCAGCAAATCATGGAAAATCCTCCTCCACAATTTAAGTCACTAAGCCTCATCCATATTTTCCTTCTTTAAAACACTATGGAACTGTTTGAGTATGGGATGCAATTTGACTGAATTCTTCTGTTATGATCTCCGTTGTGGACAGAGTATAAAGACCCTTTACACTGGTAGAAGTTTGTTCCTTGTCATGCTGATGCACACACATTTAAATGTGCCTCAAAGGGCTTCTAATAGAGCGTACAAAAGAGTGAACTCCATTTGTGCTGCAAGGACTTTGTCACTAAAAAAAATTAAGAAAGCCCAAAGAAAATAAAAGAAAAAAAAAAGTAGCCTCTCAAAAGGAATTCAGCTCGATTCAGCTGTTCTAAGCTTGACCTTGCAGTTGTGGAAAGTAAGAATCTTCACCTGCATTTAAATGCCTGCAGACAGATAGCTCTGCTGCCCTATCTAGCAGCTCTCAAAAGTTGAATGCATCCATCTTTGGTGTTTGCAGCTGACAACTGAACAGCTTTTTCTACTGTGTGTACACTGACCCTCATTTTCTGTTGCTTGTAACCAGGCCTTTTCAGAAGGGTGACTTTTCTGCTATCTTGGCAGAGACACATGGCTTATTACAGCAAACCAAGATACCAACTTTTTGATGTTTCAAAGGTCAGATTTTTTTTTCTGTTATCTAAGTAAAGAAGGCTTTTTCCCTCCCCCCCAAAACCATATTGGGAAGACACATTAATTTCTACCCTTTTGTCACTTGGCAAAGAGCACAAGGAGCTACGATCAAGTTTTTAAGTTACCTCCTGGGAGCTCCTTTGAAAACTCCTAGTTTGATTACTACGGTGTTTGCACCAAAGCAAGAAATAGCTGCCCTGCTCCACTCATTGCAGGGAGGGCAGCAGGGAAGAGTTTATGAACTGTAATTACCAGCTTACCCACTCAGGCTCCTTCCTAAAGCAGGAATCATTCATCACCCTCTTTTGTGCTACCGACTCCTTAAAAGGCCTAGTGAGCTTTAACTCCCGGGTATCCCACCAGAGCCAGGCTCCCCCGAGCCCACGCCAGGGCTACCTAGATGGATTTCAAAGGGAACATCGCGCCGCTCGCCTGCCTTATTTGGAAAACCCAGCTCTGCACGGCTTGGCACAACCTCAGCGGCCGCGCAGAGCCTCGCAAACCTGGAGCTCTGACAGAGATTTAACGAGAAGGAACCTCAGATTGCAATGAACTCCCAGTACCAGCAAGAAACAGAAATGAGAATAAAAAGAGCGGGCGGGCTGACAAGAGCCGAGCGAAAGTTGTCGAGTTAAAAACAAGCCCAAAAGGGCTCAGCGAGAAGCCCTCGGGGAGGGCTTTGCGCGTGTTTGGCGTAAAATTCTTCAGGAAGGAGGAGAAGGAAGGCCGGGGAGCGAGCGAGGGAGCGGGTCGGACCGCGGCGGGCAGGGGCCGGTGGTGCGGGCACAGCCGCGGCCGCACACGCTCCTCCGGCCGCGCTCGGGCGGGCGGGGGCGGAGCGGCGCCGGGACGCCCCTGCACCCCCGCGGCGGCCGGGAGGCCTATGGGGGCGCGGCGCCGCCGCCGGAGCGCCGGCAGCCCCTCCCCGCCGCTGCCTGCGGGAGTGGGAATAAAGACAGATAGCGGGGCAGGCACCGGCCGGGCGGGCGGGACGGAGCGCGCACAAAGTTTCCTGCGGAGCCCGCGGGCGGCGGCAGCGATGCCCGTGCTGCGCGGAGCGCTGGGGCTGCGCGGGCGCCGCCGGCCTTAGGGGAGCTAGAGCGGCGCGGGGCGCGGCAGCGAGCCCCCGGCCCGTCCTCTCCTCCGGGCGGCCAGGAGGAAGCGCCCCGGGCAGGGACGGGAGAGCGGCACTGCCGGAGCGCGGGGAGGGGGACCGGCACCGCGGGGCCAGCCGCGCCGGCGGAGCCGCGGGGAAAGATGAGCTTGTTGTCAACCATCGACACCAGCGCCGCGCCCGTGTACCAGCCCGCCCAGCTCCTCAACTGGGTCTATCTCTCGCTGCAAGACACGCACCAGGCCAGCGCCTTCGATGCCTTCAGACCCGAGCCCTCCTCGTCCCAGCACCCCGACCTCGGCTACACCAAGAGCACGCCGGAGCTGGGCTCCTCACTCAGCTCCAGCTATCTCAACAGCTTCTTCCAGCTCCAGCGGAGCGAGGTGAGTCCGCCGCGCCGCCCGGCGCGGAGCCCCCGGCCCCCCCGGGCCACAACCGCCATGATGCCTCGGCAGCCTCCTGCCCCTTCCCCGGGCCGGCACCGAGCCGCCCCGAGCGGGGCAGCCCCGCTCCGCGCCGCGCTCGCCGGGGCGGCTCGGCCCCCGCGCACGCTCCCTGTCCTGCCGGCCCCTTCCCGCCCGGCGCTCCCTCGCTGCCCGTCCCGCTAACGGGCCGGGGCCGGGCGCCGCCGCGGCATTGGCGCGGCCGCCGCCTCCTCCCGCCGCCCGCCAGCGGCGCGGGGCGCCCGTGTTGACAGTCTGGTCAATGGTTACACGGATTTCCCGTGCGCAGCCGGAGGGACGGGGGGCAGGACACGCAAAAAGTGCTACATCCGTCATAACGTGCAAAAATACCACCGCTGCCGCCACCCCCCCTTTTAGATTTTTTTTCCTAAAGCGCTACTTTAAAAACTTGATACATATGGCTTATGAGAGATCAAAGGCAGGCACTATTGGAAAGGAAGAAATATAAACAGGAACGTGACAAAAACAGCAAAAAAGTTTTGTGCACGTTTTGTAACGCAAAACAAGACTAAATGTAACCAAAGGGAAGGAAGCTAAAAAACTGGGATATGCAAAGACAATTCGCTGTGGAACTCCCTGTCACAGGAAGTTGTTGAGGTCAAGCACTTCTGCATTGGAGGGGTTTCACATGTGTGGAGACACTGCAAGGTGGCACCTCACACACCACAGCTCCAGCCTCTCCAGAAAAGACCCAACTACACTTTGGCACCCTGTTGTGGGAGTTTGCCGGAGGCATTCAACAGCATCTTTGTTTGATATGGTCAGATGGACTATACACCCAACCTGCTCTGGCACTTCCCACAGAACGACATTTCCAGCACCTTTTATGTTAAACATCGACTTAAAATGTATTCTCAATCAAAGTACACCCTTCTGTTCTGTCAGAAAAGTTATGGAGTTATTAATTAAAACTAAATCAAATTCCCCAAGTGCGCTCATAATAGAGCTGGTAACAGCTGAGAGCCAGAGTTATATAGACACGTTTTCCTTTAATTAGAAAGTCTTTCTTCTTTAAGAATTTAACAAAGCACATCCAATCTCAGAATAGATACTATTTTTGAGAATAAGTGGCTCGGAACCCATTCAACCTTAAGTCTTATTAAGCATGGCATGACATGGGCAGTTCCACAACATATATACCTAATAAGCACATTGATTTTACAAAAAGATTGGCAGGCAGTGCAATTTAAACTATTAGCTACCTACCTGTTGATGACAAATTGTAGATTTTACCCCTTCCTGCTTGGCTTTCAAGTTTTATGGTACCCAGGTAGCAGCAAGGCTCCAGGAGTTCGGCCAGCATGGATTCCAGATTGGGACTCTCTTCAGGCCTGTGTCTGTTGAAGTTGGGATACATTCTGCTCACAGCAGGTCCTTTATTTTTTGGGAGAAAAGGAAGAAACAAGTAAATGGAGTCTGCATTCAGGAAGTCTTTGAAACAGTCTCTGAGAAACAGTTTTCTCTTCCTGACAGTTCCCCAAGTTCATTTTTGGCTTCTACTATACTCTGTGCGAGTAGGGGCTAATCCTTTTGTCACACTCCCTTTCCACTTGGCTCATAGTGTTTTCCATTTTCCCCCCTAACTTTCTTCTGGAAAATAATTTGCCTGCTATGCCAGTCCTTCCTCAGGCCCCTGTCTCTGCCCCAGCTCCAAGCAGTCAGTCCCTGTGCAGCCTCTCCCCAGCTGTGCTGTTTTCAGATCCCAGAAGTCACCTTCTGTGTGGATTCCTATCATCCACAAGCTGCAACTTTATTCTGCTCTTTTTAACCTCATTACAGTTTCCTGAGGCACATGAACAGTAGCAACTGAGAATTCCAGCTCTGTAGAAAGCCAAGAGCATTCACCATTCAAAAAATAAGAAGCCATTTCATTCTATGCAGCTGTTTTATTATTTTTAAAAGATAAAGCGTGTTAGTTTGTTGCCATTCATGTTCCAGCCTGTGATGACAGCATTGACTATGTGGGTGATGAAGACACTTCTGTTTTTCCAGTATTCACCTGAACTTTGTCTTAATACATGGTAACCTTAAAAGAGGGAAAGGAGCAGAGCTATCTCCTATGGCATGGGAATGTATCTGCCCTCCTGGATATGCCCTGCTGGAAGTAGGGAACCCTCTAATTTCCCAGGCTAGCACTGCCTGCTTATACAGCAGCTTTCATTCAAGGCTTTAGAAGGTGCTAGAGATACTGTTGCTCAAAAGAAGTTCTGCCAATATGTTAGATGCTCTGTTCTTTCCAGAAACGGGAAACTAGGCTGCTTTTTGGCAGGAGTCACCCAAGAGTTTCCGACAATGTCATGCTCCTAATTCTTGAGATTCTAACATCTGTTTATTTGCAGATGCCATTGGGTATGCACTACACATTTCAACCACATAAAATTATTTTGGAGAGCATTAGTACTGTATGCTGTTTCTGCAGCAAGTGGGCTTATGCTATCTTTGGAACAACACATAGCTTTCCACAGTCAAACTGTTGACTGTTTTCTACACAGTGCTTGCTTTGGTTGGCATTTTTTTCTCCTCACGGTTTTGTCCTGGGTTGGCTTAGCCTGGAGCCGAGCTGTGACAATGATTGACACATAGCTGTACACAATATTTGGAAAGTGACCTAATGAGGGTCCAAAATAGCAACAGATTGAAAAATGATAGGATCATAGGGTGTAAAATAGTTGTGTGTCCTGTATGTTGCCTTGCAATTGAAACTTTCTGGAGAAGAACACTTGAAATAAGAGACAGCGCTTGTGAAAAGTTGCTATTATACAGGGTTTGCAAGTCTGCATGGCACTGCCTGTGTATGTGACTTGCATACTGACCAAAGGAACAGGACAGAAAAAAAATAAAAGTGCCAGCACCCACAGAGTAGTCTTGTACTTCAAGATTTTTGTCCTCCAGACTCTTTCCACTACAATGGATGCCTTCTAAATAAACATGATGAACACAGCTGTTTGGTGCATAAAAGCCCATTGTACCAAGAAAAAAAACAATAATAAAGGTTTAAACAGTAAAGAAACAATGAGTGTTTTGTTCTGTATGCAAGACTCGTTTTGCAAAACAGACCTGCTTTAAACCAAACTTTATGGCAGCATTTGTTGTCCTAGATATGAAATAAAAGCATGTTAGACCATTAAGATGCAATAAATTCGCCATTGAACTGAGCTCCACCCTCATTATAACACCATCCATCAGAGCCAAGTATTTGAAGTTTTGTTGTGAGGCTGGTTACAGAGAATTTAATGTCTGTGAGACACAGCCAGGTATCTGTGGCTTTGTCATTGAGGGTTATAATTGAACAACCTAGAGTGAGGGGGCAAGAGACCCATAAGGTATTTTTCTACACTAGCAGGAGGCATCCAGGTCAATGCTTTCTTTGGTCAAGAAGAGACAGCAAGCAATAACTAGAAATTATCATAATATAATAGTTAATTTCTTTTCTCTACTCTGTGTCTTTCAAGAGCAAAATTCCTTCTAGAAGCCTCTATGGCAGCCACTTTCTGGATCTAAACCAGATTTTATTTAAGCACAAATAACTGCACATACTAGATGAGAAAATAATCACCGTTTCCATGTTTCTGAATTGGAGAATCCAGATCCAGTCCTTATAGGCAAGAAGGGAACTAACTGGGAATGAGAGCACACCAGCTAGTTCAGTTTGCTGCTGTAAAGTATGGATCACTTGTTTGGAAAGAAAAATGCGTGGAGGTAAAAAAAGTTCACAGAGTGCTGTGGAAAATAACATTCAAATCCCTGTGAAACAAGCAAGTGTAAAGCACTGGGATAGATTAGGTAACTTCCCAAAGAAGATAGTGACATTCACAAGCTAACAACAGAAACTGATGAAACACTGGAAGAACAAAAACATAGGGAAGGAAATTGGCAGTTCTACAGAAAATGTATTTTATCAAACTTGTTGTCCGTCTGTCTTTCATAGAATTAGGGGGCTACATACTAGGCTGATACTTGATGAAGAAATATCTGTTATTTGGCCTAGATGAAGTAATTTGAAGGATAATGATAAGATTTTAAAAAAATCTCCATTCTGCTAGTATCAGAACAATACAGTGATTGCCATACCACATCAGGCCATTGGTTCCCTGAATTAAGTGCAGTATCTTCGAGAACAGCCATGATTAAAAGATTTTAAAGGGAAAACCAAATGCATTTTAAGAGGCGGCTCACAACCAGTATGGTCTGAAGGCAGACTCAACAGAGAGGCAGGTTAGCAGAAATTGCCATATGGTCCAAAACGTGTCCAGTTTGTTTAATTTTGTGTAACACTGTTAGTAATTCAAACACACAGCATGCTTTTGATCCACAAGGTGCTTAATGTGTTAGGCATTCAAGTGAGGACTTCTTGCTTTCTCAGCTACAGACTGACAGTAGCAGTCTATGGTACCTGAATATGTCCTTTAATAATAATGATTACTATTTATTTCCTAATTTTAATTTTTTTCTCAATATTTTTTGTGTAAGTACATTGGAGTGCTCTTAACCTGCCCCAAATTTTATTGAAAGAGCACTAGCATAACAATTCCTGTGTTGCAGGAACTGGTTCTCTTTGCCTCAGGATGATTGTACACTACCAATATTTTGTGGCTACTTAAAGTGCCAGACAAGTAATTCCAAAATGCTTTTCAGGAAGTTAAATGTCAATTCTCACATCAGACCTCCTAAGAGATTCCAGGGAGCTGAATCTCTTACATTAATCAGAGGACAACATGCATTTGGAGGTCTTGGCAGGACCAGCCTCTGTCCTCCTGACACAGCCAGCTCCAGAGCCCTTTTGATGGTGCTGCCTCAGCACACAAAGTGCAGCTTTCACAGCCCACTGTACACTGCTCTCAAAATCTTACATCCAATTGCAGGTATTTGAGCTAATAACTATTCTGATCCTAATTCCAGTTGGACATATGCTTTAAAATGCAAAAATTCAGGGGCTTATGTCTATGAGCATTCTCTTTTGCACCCTGTTCTTATCTCTGCAGCCGTGGCCTCCTGCTTTGCTACGTCTGTGGCCTTTGGAAAACACCCACGTTTGCCAGGGAAATAAAAACCCCACATGTGAATGTACTATAGGAAGTGGACTCAGAAAATAAGATCTATATCTTGTATAAAAAGTGTGAAACTCAAATTATTATCCAAATTACACTCTTCCATTTGTATCACCTTGGTGTGGCTTTAGGCTTCTCTATTGTCCAGGATGAAGTGCTTTGTTTGTGTGTGTTTTTGGAAGTGGGCAGTCCTGCATGTAGCAGATACTCTCCTTACTCTTGACACTTAGTTAGGATGAATTACCTAATAGCAATTTGACTGCAGGAAGAAATGCACAAGAGCCAAATATGATTCACCAAAGAAAGTGTTCTAAATACAATTATGTTGCTTTTACTCTGGCTTCTTTACCTGACTAAGGACAGCAGAAGGTTGCTAGAAGTAAGAAGAAAATGTCTTGAATTTACTCCAACAGCCAGAGCCTCTTGTGTTGTGTCCTTGCCCACAAACTGCCCCTGCCCCCAGCAAGTGCTGCTCTAGCTCTGCAGCACACCTGCCCTACCTCCAGCTTTAACTAATTCAAAGATGACTTACACCTGGGCTTTACTCTATTTGCAGTGAAAGTATTATCCACCATAGTAATCTGCAGCTACTTGCTTTCACATCACAATCAGAGCCCCACTTGGAAAGCTGGCAAGAACTAAAATATTAATTGCTGAAAGTAAATCAGGTCTTCAAGAAGAGGAATATGTACTTTCAACTTTACTATTGATTTCTTTTTGATAGCTTGAAAAGAACAATAAAATAAAGAAATATCAAATTATTATAGTGATATTTCTTTTTACAGTTACATTTTTTATTCCGGATTAGCTGAAAATGATTGCCAATTCTTTTAAATCACTTGGGATTTTGTATCTATGCAAATTCCTCATTGGGAGAAGCACTGGCATGCTTTTTCTGCCTCACAAATACATTCACATCTTGGAAAAAACCTGTCAGGCAGTTTATAGAAAAGAAAAACACACTAACCTATAATTGGAGGCAAAAGGATGTAGAATTCTTGTTACAATTATATTTTATACACAGAGCTTTCATTAACAGTTATTTTGTGCATTTACAGTGTCTTCCATGCCAAAGCACCCTAACAAAGGGGTGATGTAACTGCGCGTTGGGTAATGATTTTTCATCCACTCCTCTTTTGCTCTGCAGACACAGACTCAGTTATTCAGAAGAGAAAGGGAAAATCCTTCTCCAGTGAACTGCACAAATAATCAGACAACCGAGTCTGACTTGAACCAATATATTAATTTATGAAGTGTATGGAATGAATTAGATAACCAAGAGGTGTAGCAAACTGCTTTTATCCCAAAGCCACTCTTCCCCCCCAGCCAGGCCTTTTTGGTTACATTTGGGGGATTTTGTGTGCTTGTACAAGATAGAACTTGTAGAGATGGTCCTGCTACTTGGTAATTGACAACCAGAAGAAAAGATTGCATTTTACTGACAGATGCTAGGTGAGTATTAACACCAAGGAGAGTTTTCTAGATCAGAGTTTAAGTGCACCATAAAAGGACTTTGGAACACAATTTAAGTGAAATTTAAATCTAAGACCAGAGAATCTTCTCATCTTTAAGAAGTATGAAAAATAATGACATAGTGCCCTTGCCAAAAAGTGCAGGCACAGATATTACAAAGCCAAATAGTACAATTCTGATAATATATATTTGCATAGGAACAAAAGCAGCTGTATCCTGTTACCCAAATTAGATGCATACATAAAAATGCTACCTAAAAAGTGATACTGAGTATATAACCTTCCATTTTCTGAACAGGTTAATGAAGTGTCACAATTATTACCCATACCTCTCCCCAGTTTGTCCTCCTCAGAAAAATTGCCAACAGCCTGATGCCCATTTTGCTAAATCTGGAATTGCTCTTCCTCTTTTAGAAAGCCACAATGAAATTACTAAATTAAATGGAGAGAATATAAGTCTTTTCTTCATGGTTTACTTAGGTTCTGTGTGGGTTCCAGAGTAATTATAATACATCAAAGCAACTAATTAAATGTTACAAAGCTATTCAAATCTTACAGTAATGCTGACATAATTCAGACAGACATTATTTCATAAGTGTAAAAGCCTGGATCACTTGGTTTTTCCTGCAGGTTGGTTCCTACTCTTAGAACCATAGCAAACCATTTATGATCTGCTAAAAGTAGAATCTAAAATTATAGACAGATTCACTTGAGGAAGGCAGAATAAATGCAGGGTTACAAGTCCTTTCTCCCTGTCCCTCATTGTCTAGCCAGGCCAGCACAGATGTGGGGAGTTTTGGTGTCTTTTAAATTTTAACATATCACAAGCCTAACCCCTGAATTTCTGTCATATGTTTTGGTGTAAGCAACTAGTAACAAATCCAATACTTTGACTAAGAGGAGTTTTAAGGAGCCTCATGTAGACCCTTTTTCTTAGCTCTTTCAACTGCTGCTGATTGGAGAACTGCTGCCTGGTCTTCCAGACCTCTTCCTTAAAAAATACATTTTGTGTTTTGACAAATTTAGTTTGAAGATTAGCAAATGCTCTTGTGATCCAGGACTTGAGCTCATATGCAAAGCAGAGATAAATTCCTACTGTATTAACTGACCACCCACACCTACTCCCTGCATGTGGCAGGATTTGGTGTCTCTTTTCAATGAACACAAGTGCAATACCTTACATAGAAGGATTGTGGGTACCTGGAAATCTGTATTTGCATCTCATCCAGCTAAATGCCAACCAAGCAAACACTTTGGGGCATCAGCTTGGTCTCAAGAGATTTCTTGTGCTTCTAGGAGTTCCAGATATCTCAGAGATCTTTGCAGAGGAGTTGCAGCCTATATTTCTTCACACTAAGGGAGCCTGCTAGGCAACTATTTTGTAAATAGTCATTAGGGCTGTGGATACTTGTGGTTGAAAGGAGAGCAAAGGATCTATTGTACAGTC